AGGGGCGGAGCGAGCCGGACGCGGGGGCGGAGCCTGCGGAGCCAGCGGAGCCCTGGGCTGGAGCTCGCGGCAGGCTCGCTGGCCGCACGTCACTCCCGCACGGCGAGTGCTGGAGCACGAGCTGCTGCTCGCTCGGTCAGGGCGCCCCCTCCCTCCGCCTCTCTCTTCCTCCTCCGCCGCCCGCCGCCACCGCCTCCTCCTCCACCATTGTATAATGCTCCGAGCGCGCAGGCGGAGGACCGTGGAGTCTTAGCCCGGGTCTCGCCTGCTGCCCGCTCCCCGGCGCCACCCTCGGGCCCCCGGAGCGGGGGACTCCGCATGGAGCGGGTGTAGCTTGAGGAGTGGGCGGAAACCCCTCCTGATGCGTTAGTTCCCAGGTGGAGCTGCATGTGGTAAGTTCTCCCGGCGCCGGGCTGGAGGGTCTCCTCGGGGGCGCGGGGCGCCGGGTGGTTGGGGGGACGGCGTTGGTAGCTGGCCAGGGCCGGGAGGGCGGCGGAGGGCGCGGGCGGCTCCGCCAGAGGGACCTGGGGTCGGAGCAGGTACGCAGAGGGGCGCGCCTCCGCCCGCGTCCTCGGACCCCCGGACTCAGGACCGGGAACCCGCGGCGGCCGCGGGCAGGTCTGCGGGGGGAAGGGCCAGGCCGGCAGTCGAGGGCCGGGGTCAGGAGGGGGTCGGAGCTAACGCGAGCCGAGCAGTTGGGCGGAGGGAGCCTGGAGCTGTCGCCTTTTACAGCTGGGATGTGTGTGCGTGTTGTGGCAGTTGTGTTGTTGTGAACGTGCGAGACTTTTTTTCAAGGCTTGGATTGCTGGCGTGAAGGCTGCTTCACTTCGGAGTTCCGTGGTCGGCTTTGCAATCAACTTGCTGTAAAGTGTGTTTCTGTGAGTTTTCCTCGTCTTATTATGAGCTTAGAAGCATCCCTCTCCACCACTTACCCCTTTTCGTCCATCGTTATATTTTGCCCTGCGCGCCCAAGTGGATTGATTTTGGATATATGTGTATATTAAACTTCGAGGCTCGTTGGTTTTTAAATTAGAATTCTACAAGTCATCTTCGTGGTGACCGCCTGTGACTAAAACGGGGGGGGAGGCTGAGGGGAGCCAGCTGTCCCATGCCCTGGACTTTGTACCTTTAAGATGGGGGGGTGTCGTCAGGGGGCCATTGCATCGAGAGAAAGTCATAAATTGTTCCTTCTTATTTTTTTCTTGGCCGTGAAATAGTTATGTTGTACTAATAGATTGAGATGGGAGTAGAGCTCCTAGTTTTAAGATTAGATATAGTTTGCCTTCGAATGATTTTTTGCTTGCAAGCTGGGTAGTTTCAGGATGTTTCAGGATGAAGAAAGTAGGTTTTTACAAGCACTGAATTGGGGAGGGGCAGTCAGCAGGATGAGACACCCAGTCTCGGGCTATAGCAGTGTTTATTTGCTTAGAATTGGGCAGCCCCAGTTGGTCTTAAAGAAGATAAATGTTTTCAAACTTAGTTCATGAAATATCTCTTTTGATTTCCCACTGTATGTTAAGAAATGTTCATAATGTGTGTAAAGAGCCTAGAAGTTGTGGCCAACAATGGGATCACTGAGGACCTAAGTGTTCAAAGTATCTTTTTATAATTAGGGACTAGTTAGTGCCTGACAGAAGTGAAGAGTGGGCCATTGGCTCCACTCAGCCCCCACAGGAGGGACCACCTGAGAGAGTGGTGGGTTTGTTTTGCTGATCTGGGTAGCTGCTCAGCTAACCAGAAGCCATAGCTCACCCCACGAGCTCCCAGCCCTCCCCCTTTTTATAGCAGTCTGTTCTGATTTGAGTGTGCTGGGCAGTGCTGTGAGGATGAAAATACCCACCCTGAGTTTGCAGCATCTGGCACGAGGAAGAATAGCTTGTTCATGGACCTTTGCTTTCCTGTTCGTTCGATCAACTTCTTCAAGAAAAAAAAAAAGACAAATATTAAAAAAAAGTTTCCTTTAGCTTCAGTGATTTACTGAGACGTTCTATATGCTGTTATAAAATTGTTTACATTGTTCATCAAGTTTGGAAGCCTTTAAACTAATTTTTACTTCTTTCCCCTACCCTATTTAGTAAAGGATATTTTAATAAGGTGTATAACCATGCTGCTTTCAGGTAAGAAATCTTAGGAAGTGAATTTGACAGCCTTTTTTTTTTTTTTTTAACACTCAGCTCTGTTCCTTGCTTTATTACAACAGGTAGGAGAGAGGACTTGCGTTTTGTAATGCCGAGCCACTGTACAGCAGGAGGTGTCCTAGGGAACAGTTTTCTTGTCAAGCAAGTGTCACAGCTTCTTAGGTAACAGCTGCTCAGGCTTGTTTCCCTTAAAGAACTAAGAGAAGGATATTAACTCAGATTTAGAAAATCTTTAGACTCCTGCTCGCTGGTTTGCCCACCTTTAAAGCTTTTTTATTTAATTGAGAAGCTGAAATATAAATTTCACCAAGTTGCCACGCACTGAATTATTAATAATGAGCATGGTAAAATAGCATATATTTTGATCCTTTAAAAGATCACTAGAATTTGTGTGGAGACTGACAGCTTATGCATATGCTATTTTACACAGAGCTCCAAAGGCAAAATAAAAGTTACAGCACTACTTTAGAAAGAGGTTTACACACACACACACAAGGCATGGGAAGGTTAAAGATGTCTGAATACAAATATGTAAACTTATTTCTAGTAGTAAATAAAGTAGCATACTACACAGTATTAGTATCAAATGATACTACCAGCTTACCCTCAAGTCAAAATATTTTAAACTTCAGTAACTAAGGAAGGTGAAAGCTGCAAGAGATAGAAACTTTCAGAGGTTTCTTTTGCCGTGATCTCTTATTAAAGAGCACTGGTAAAGTGTGAAGCTTTATTTCATATTTCATTCATATGAGGAAATTCAAGACCATTTGTCAGTATTATTTATAGATAAAGACATGCGTAGATAAATACAGGCATTTAGGGGTATTTAATTCACTTGTAGAATTTTTAACACGTTGTTGCTACAGAAATTTCATGTTTGTTGTCACGGCATAGCCTTCAGGAGATAGCTCCGGTTGCAATAGTTTCTTGGCCAAAAAAAAAAAAAGAGAGAGAGAGCGCAAGAGCACTGTCTCTGATTATTGAGTCCAAAGATCAGGTCCTGTGCTAAAGGCACCAGAGGGCAAGCTCAGTTGAAGTGGAAATGGCCTGGCAATAAAGGTAACACATGCACCCTCACAGATCTTTCCAGTAATTAATACTGACCCACAGAACATGGAAATCGAAAAATGCTGTGGCCACCACATTTGCACACATCACACATTTTCTACCTATTGCCGGTCGTTATTCCTTAAAACGATTGACAGATATGCCCAAGCTAGGAGTCCTGTTTAAGAAGTGTGTGGATCCTTAATTTAGTCTTAATATTTCTGAAGGAAACAGCTACTAGCCAGAGTTGGGCGTGTCTTTTTAAAAAATGGTTGCCTCAGACGGGCAGTGCAGTTGGTATTACAGGCAAGCTTCTGCCCTCGGTGCAGATGCTGGGAAACCCGTGTGAACAGGACTGTCCCCTGGAGCGCCCGTCGCTCATTGTGTGGAGCGGTGTCTTTCTCCATTAGCGCTGTGTGGCAGTTCATTCTTTGTATGAGTCTGTGAATGGCATATGTCAGGCCAATAAGAAGACATTCCTATTCTGGGTGATAAATAGATGCCTTGTTTTTTGTTTTCTGTTTATTTTATTTTATTTTTTCCTTGAAGATCATGAGATAAATAAAACACGTTTGGCTGTCAGAAAAAGTTGTCTTTAAAATACAAATAAAAATATCAGAATAAAAACATCACAATATATTTTAAAACCTAGGATTCCTAATGGAGTAAGACAGACACTGATAATTCCCACGCGTGCCACACCCGGACAATGTGTAAACTCCCTTTTGGAAATGTTGCTCTCTTTCGTGGTCTGAGGGTTCCTAAAGCTGGGAAGGCCTGTTTGTCTTTTCTCGAGAATCTTCTGTCTGTCATCTGAACTTAACTGCCAGGATTCACTGAAGAAAACGCCAAAATTTGATAGATTCTCTCTTTTAGAAACCCAGCATCACGTAAGTGATATTCTGCACCCATTGCAATTTGGGGTTCAGAATGGAGCCGGCCTCTGCCCTCTTGCTCGGCCTCCCCTGCCACTTGCCGGCTGCCTGTTCAGGGCTGGCTCTGTGCAGACGGGGATGGTAGGGTGAGCAGTGAGTGCGCCCTGCCCGGCACTGCCCCAAGGAGCCAGCTATGCAGACGCTGGACGCTGGGGCGGGGGGCTGGGGGAGAGGGAGGGCATATCTGAAGCCACTGAACAACTGTTGCAGGAGTTGTGACTAGTTTTATGTCCCCAAAGGCAGCTTTGTTTCTCTATAGTAACTCCAAGTAGCAGCAAACTTAAGTTCTTATTCATGTTTGCATTACTATCTTTTTATATGTATGCAAAACCCGTAACTTTGCAGTTACTAATTAATTCTAAGACTTCCCCCCGCCCCAAAACCCTGCATCACTGGAAAGAAGCTAAACCAAGTATTTATATTCCTGAGGAGATTCACATAGCCTTCATGAAGAAGGGAAGGGATCCTGGCTCTTATATAAGGACATAATATATATACAAACACTTCTAGGGTGGCCTGTATGAACTTGTTGGGCCAAAGTAAAATGTACTACTTGAATATACCATGGTCAAAAAATTAAATGCTGTTATGAAATGTCACTTGCTGCAGATCAACCTTTGGCCCCTTGCTTTCCTCTCTGGCTGGCTGCTTATCATTCCATGCCACGCCGCCACGGGGGCTTCCAGCAGGCTGCTGGAGTACCCCACCCTTGTGTTGAAAAGCATTGCATGAGCTAAACTCAGGGAATCTGAAAGTCCCAAGGACATCTCTACCCCAGAACAGGTTTGGGTAAAATTCTAGTCCCGCTAATGAGATAACGAGGTAGCAACTGTTTTAAACTGATCCTCCCTTGAGTGGTGATCCCATTTTATAACACGATACAGATTCGCTTTTCAGATTTCTTTACTTTTTGGAGGAAGCTCCGTGTGTGTGCACTTCTGTGTCTCCCGTGCCGTCATAGAAAACTGATCTGGTATGGGAATTTGAGCGCCGTGGTCTCAAGCTGAAGAAGAAATCGTGCAGCTTCTCTGTGATTAAACTGGTGATGGTCTTCTCTGGATCGTTGTTAAAATAAACTGATTAATTTTTTTTTATCATGTCCAGAAAAATAAAATAGATTTTACCTGGTAATGATTCTTAGACGGCTGATGGAAATTGGTTTACAAATTCAAAATGTGGATACCTCAGCTGACACCTACCTTCTAACAAAGCTCCTGAAGGTAGGGTGACATGAACAGAATGTTGTGAGATGGCCTAGCTGGGTAGGTGGGA